TTCCGTGAATATAAGAGGGCGCTGCAAGCGGACATCCGCAAGGCTTTCTTCATGGTCGCGGTTAATCTCGAAGACTGTTTGTACCTGCATTTCTTGTGGCCTGGTCGAAGCAACAGCGACGAACTGTTAACCTGGAGGCTAACGAAACTGCCATTTGGCGTAAATTACTAGCCATACATGCTTACTGCAGTGATTCAGCATCACTTGAAGGAGCTACGTGCGCTGTCTGCACCCAGAGAGCGAGACCGTATTGATCTTTTGCTCACGAGTTTCTACGTTGACGATTTGGTCTCTAGTGTCTCAAATGACCCGGAAGCCAAGAAGATGCAAGAGTTCAGTGTGCGTGTGCTTACAGACGCTGGCATGCAGTTGCGCAAGTGGCGAGGCAACGAAATACCGTGCGATCCAGAGGCCGGAGATAAAGTCCTCGGGCTGAAATGGAAATCCAGTGATGACTTGTTCAGCTTAGCAGCGCTAGGTGAGTCCGATAGGCCGCCTGTTTTGACCCGGCGATCCCTCCTTAAGTGTGTTGCGTCAGTGTTTAATCCGCTAGGTCTAGCAGCACCTGCAGTTGTGCCGGGAAAGATACTGCTAAAGCTAGCCTGGAAATTTGGTGGCGACTGGGATGATAAGTTGCCTGATGGCATCGCAACCGCATGTGTGCAATGGTGGGGAGAGTTGGATGAAGTGGTGAGCATTGACATACCACGTTGGATTTGCTGCAATCTTGACACGCCGATTGCGCTTTATGCCTTCGCGAATGCCAGTGAGAAAGCGTTTGGATGTTCTTTGTATGCCGTCGTCAATGGACAGTCGCACTTGGTATTTGCCAAGGCCAAAGTGGCACCGGTGTCTCCACCCATGTTAGCCCGCCTTGAGTTACAAGCAGTATGTCTAGCGGCTCGCTACGCTGATTTTGTGGTGACGCAGCAGTGTGTGACCGTCACGCAAGTGCATGGCTGGACTGACAGTCTCACTACCGTTCATTGGATCAGTGATCTATCGTACAACTGGAAAACATTTGTGACTAACCGCCTGAGTAAAGTCCAAGAGATATTGAAGAAGGTCGGCACTGTGTGGAACCATTGCCCGGGCCTTCACAACCCAGCAGATGTACCGTCACGGGGGAGTAGTGCACAGCAGATCCGTAGTTCGTTCTGGATGGGCGAACCAACCTGGATCACGGAGCCCAATGACTGGCTCACCCCACCCTCAACTGCAGCTACAGATGAGTCCAGTGTAGAAGTGCGAGTGTCAGCCACCACCTGTAGTCGAGAATCTAATAATGAACGGTGGTATCAAAAAAGTATTCTTTCTAGACCAAAGAGTGGTATATTTGATAAAATTTAATAACGATAGCAATATTTAGTATAGTTCTCCAGACGTTTCGTTGTTCTGAACAACATCGTCAGTGGATAAAGAAGTTCTTTATCTACTGACGATGTTGTTCAGAACAACGAAACGTCTGGAGAAGTATCGTAAATATTTCTATCGTTATAAATTTTATCAAATATACCACTCTTTGGTCTAGAAAGAATACTTTTTTGATATTACAAGGAGAGTGAATAATCAACGGCTTGTCCACCAACTCAATGAATGGTGGCTCCAATTCAGTAAGTGGTCGAGGGCACAGGGCATGTTGACTCGGATGTTGCAGTGGAAGCACACTGGGCCTCGTGGTGAACTCTATTTTGAAGAAGACAACGTATTGTACTGCATCGTTCAAGCCGAATGTTTCGCTTAGGATCTTGAGCTGATCAAGCAAAGGCAACCAGTGAAGCCTGGGTCTAAGGTGTATCAGCTTGCATCGTTTCTGGATCAGCATGGAGTGCTCAGAGCCGGGGCACGACTTCAGCACAGCGAGTTGGCGTATGGAGACAAGCACGCAGTCCTATTAGGCAAACATCATCTGACTGAGTTGTTGTTGGAGAAAATGTATGTCGAAAGGATGCACCAAGGTGTAGAAGGGGTCTTGTCGTACTGTAGCGGGCCGCAGTCTCTCGGAGGCAAGAACGCACAAGGGTCTCAGTGAACACACTGTAATTGGCAATTGAAATGTCCTGGCAACGAAATTAACTACCTGGCAACTAAATTAACTAACTGGCTATAAAAGAATCGTGAGCAGCAGCTTTGATACAAAGGCAGACTCCGTACGCTAATGTACGGGGATACGCTAACGTATGGGGATACAGTACGGGGATATGCTTTACTCTAAACACTAAACGCTATACGCTTTGAAGTCACCAGCGTGCCAACGCTACATCTCCCCTCTCAAATACAATCACGTCCTCGTGATTCGAATACTTCATGTAGGTGATAGCTGGACATCAACAACTGGCTGCTATTTAGAAAAAACTGGCGGCATGCATGGTCGCGTCGGAATAAACTCGACGATAAGAGAAAGGCAGAATGGATGACTTGCACAATATAATACAGGTATGGAGTCGTGGACATTATAGTAGATCGCGAATTGCTGGGAGAGCGTCAGCCGGAGTATGGCATATAATATCGGAAATGATAACGTTTGGAATAGACAGAAGAATGAACTGATAAACAAATCATAAAGTAGAAGCACACCAGGTTCACACGATCTCACGGGGTCAAAAGGGGAAAGAACTGTCCTCCGAATAGGACTTGAAAAACCACAGCACTCTTGCTGCACAACGCTGGCACAACCCGCCAGGAACATCGCAGTTCAAAAACCGAACTGAATACACTATAACTATAATAGGCCATTCACACGACGTGTAAACATTTGCACGTGTGTGACCAAGATAACACTGGCAAACCGTGATCCAGTTCACACGGTGCTGGGCAAACTTTGCAACCGTCAATGTATCCATAGTGACCTCCTGAAAATGCCGGGAAATATTCAATTTTGAATTTTCCCTTGTTCAAGCACTGCATTTGCAGTACGCACTTTCAACAACCGACACTTTTCCTGGCGTGCAAAGATAATCGCGAGCAAAAGGGCCTCGGCCAAGATAAAAAATCAGTTGCACGCGGGTGTCCAAGTTTATCGTATCCGAGTAAATATCCTTGGAAACAGTACGATAAAAGTAAGTTTGGCCGTCGTGTGAATGGCCTATAAGGGGCGTTGTCACACACATTGTCCCACGTTAGCTGGGTAAGCCGTGGCTCACCATGATCAGACGCCTACCAAACTAAACTGGATTCACACACTCGCATAAACGAAGACTGAAGAGAACAGGGAGACTGAAGGAAGACAGGAGAGAAAATGCCATACCTGGAATCAGCGTTAGTAACCACGGCGGCGGCTGGAGCTATGGCGGAGGGCGAGCCAGGTTTTAGCGTCATCTTGGTTGAGCCGGTCACTCAGAGCGGCTAGCTCGGCGTCAGACAAATAACCTTCCTCCTCGTCTTGAACCACGGTCTTCACATTGTCGATAGCATCGCTTTGCGCGACGTAAAGAGTGATGGTCTAGCCAGGAAGAGTGTTGACGAAAATCTGCATCCCACCACGAAGACGAAGGACCAAGTGAATAGTGGACCCCTGCTGAACGTTGTAGTCACTCAGGGTTTGGCCGTCTGCCTAATGCGTGCCGGCGAAAATCAAACGCTGCTGGTCTTGGGGAATACCCTCCTTGTCTTGGTCAGCAGCCTGCATGTCGTCGTCCTCATCAGCTTCGCCAACGCTACAGTACATCCGTCAGAAATTCTGGAGTATCGGTGGTCGACGAGCGCTACGCAACATTACTCAGCGATGTGTTACATGCCACCGCTACAAGGCTAAGGTTGCCGCAGAAGTCTGACCGCCGCTGCCAGAAGGCCGAGTTGTTCACGAGAGGCCGTTCACAACTACCGGCATCTACTATGCTGGTCCGTTGTACGTGCGCCCTGGCGAGTCATCTCCGAAGGTATGGATAGCATTGTTTGTGTGTGCAACCACCAGCGAAGTTCACTTGGAGGCGGTCGATAGTTTAAGTACTGAGTCATTCTTGATAGCATTTCGAAAGTTTGTCGCGAGACATGGTTTGCCGTCTCGGATCAGGTCTGACAACGCTACAACGTTCAAGGCGGCATATGACAAATTGAGTGTGCCATGGATGTTCAATCTTCCAGCTGCACCATGGCATGGAGGCTTCTATGGGCGAATGGTTGGTACGGTGAAGAGTGCCTTGAAGAAGGTAATGGGAACAGCGTTTCTGAAGGTCCAGGAGCTTGAGACCCTCTTGTATGAGGTTGAAGCAGTGGTGAATAGTCGTCCGCTAACTTATGTGTCTGATAGCCTGGGTGAGCCACCAGTAACCCCTGCAATGATGATGGGTAACATCTGGATGTCGTCAGCGAAGCCAGCAGGTACCCTGGACGCTACGCAGATGTCATCGAGATTGCACTACCTCAGTCGCACACTGAAGCATGTCAAGAATCGTTGAGAGGTGCAGTACCTAAGTCAGCTGAACAAGCACCAACAGATCATGTCGTGCCCTTTAGCTGTGGGTGATGTCGTCTTTGTTCTCGATGATACCAAGCGCAAGCAGTTCTGGCATTTGGGACGGACCGTCGAGCTATTCCCTGGTCGAGATGGTAAGCGTTGTGTTGCCAAGGCTAAGTTGAGTACCAGTACTCTGTTGCGGCCGATCCAGAGGCTAGTGCCATTACAAGTATACTCACAAGACGTGGCTTCTGGGCCTGCCGATGCCGTACAACCTGCTATCGTCCAGCAGCAGCCAGCGTCTGTACGGTCAGCACTGGTGCAGCCACCACCACCGCAGCAGGAGATGGCGCGTTATGGGCGCGTAGTCAGAGCCCCGGATCGTTTTTGACTTGTGTGAGTTGTTGTACTGCGGTGAGAAGCCCTTTGGTGGGGAGAATGTTACAAACCACCAGTTCACGCAGAATGGGCATTAGAAAAGTCTTTAGTTTCTTGAATCTGCAAAGTATTCAAAATCAACTGCTGTTCTGATTTACAAAGCTAAGTGCAATGTTTACTAAGAGGTCTGTTTTACTTTCTTGTTTATTGACCATTGTTCATTCAGGACAACAGGACATGCCTAGACTCTGCAGTAGCAAGTAATAACAGCGAGCATGCTCAGCCTGCGGCTAGACTAAGGGCAATTATCCGCCATCTTGAAAGCAAGTACCCAGAGGAGCAGAAGAAGGTAAGCGCAACTTAGAAGAAAAGAAAATACATCAAAAAGAATTTCCCATTCGAAACCTTGCGTAACCAATGAGGTAACAATATCACTCTATTCCCTCCAGACGCTCACACATTGTCTCCCTGCTGCAAACACCGCTTTTGATTCACCAAATATTCAGGCATGGCTCAGTATCAGGGATACTGGTTCAAACTAATGATGGGTTATGCCCAAACATTTAGTGACCCAAAAGTGACGTTCGCAGCAGAAACGTCCCTGTGTGGGTGTTTGGAATGAGTGCAATAATGTATAATTGGCTGCAATGCAGTTTACTAAGGCTGCGGAAAGGATGCAATAGTTGCAAATAGTAATAGCAATGAGGCACTCAAATGTCTCTTACGGGGACGCCTCAGACACTGGCACGCCTCTCTACCGGGCACCTTTAGCTTGAGTTCCTATGGCAAAACTGCTTCCAATTTGGGGGTTTGAATTATTTTTCGTGTACACTAGTGTCAGTTTATCACTGCCCACCTGTGGAATCCACACATTTTCATCAACGCACTATTTTTTTATCCTGAATACACGGAAAATGTGCCAAAAAAAACTTCTACTTCTACAAAAACTGGTAAACTACATGAGCCCGGAACAGCGAAAACCATCGCTTGTGTTTGATATCAAATTGATCAAAAAGTCGAGTGAAAGAAATTTTGCGGATCTAACAACTAAGCCATCACCTTTCTGGCTTTCTTGTCACCAGTAATTCTTCCACCTGACAAGCCCGGGTTCGTTTTTTTGTCAGTTACTAGCTAGCTAGGCAAGCCCCAGGGAAGTGAGGAGACACGGCTGGGAAGTCCCACGTACCTGCGCTTGGCTGGCGAATAAGTACGATCGCAGGGCTCGAGCATCGCACGCGCATCGACCGTCGTTGACGGCAATCATGACACAACATTTTTTTGGTGATGACTGGGAGTCAAGTGAAAGCCGCGGAGCTCCGGAAGACGACTCTCTCCTGCCGCAAAGCGACTCAGCGAGGCTGCAGATTTTGTATTGAAGAAAGCAGCGCTGATGAGAATGACGACGAAGTGGATATTGTTGACGACTCCTTCACTAGTAAGTTTGTCGGATATCGACAGTGACGATGCAGAGCAAAGGCGTCTCGATTCACGACTGTAAGAGCAACGAGTACTAGCGCAAGACAAGGTCTGCTTCAATGGCTTGAACGCTGAGCAACTTGTTCCTTGAAACATGTATTTGGTCCATGCAGCAGCTCCCAAAACAATTCAGAAATATGTTCCTGTTGGATGAGGTAACAATGTCTCAATGACAATGACTGTGATTGTATCAGCACCTAGTACTAGTATGTAGCTTATGATCCTGTGTGCTAAGAAGTCACAGCCACTAGGATTGCACTCCGTGTGTGCAGATATGTTTTCATGGAAGTGAAGGGCTTGCAGAGCATCAGTACAGAGCCTGGTGTGTATGCAATATCAACCCCTGGATCTCTCTTGGTCATATGCAATATCAGCCCCTGGAACTCTCTTGGCCATATGCAATATCAGCCCCTGGAACTCTCTTGGTCATATGCAATATCAGCCCCTGGAACTCTCTTGGTCATATGCAATATCGGCCCCTGGAACTCTCTTGGTCATATGCAATATCGGCCCCTGGAACTCTCTTGGTCATATGCAATATCAGCCCCTGGAACTCTCTTGGTCATATGCAATATCAGCCCCTGGAACTCTCTTGGTCATATGCAATATCAGCCCCTGGAACTCTCTTGGTCATATGCAATATCGGCCCCTGGAACTCTCTTGGTCATATGCAATATTGGCCCCTGGAACTCTCTTGGTCATATGCAATATCGGCCCCTGGAACTCTCTTGGTCATATGCAATATCAGCCCCTGGAACTCTCTTGGTCATATGCAATATCAGCCCCTGGAACTCTCTTGGTCATATGCAATATCAGCCCCTGGAACTCTCTTGGTCATATGCAATATCTGCCCCTGGAATATATCTGCCCCTGGAACTCTCTTGGTCATATGCAATATCAGCCCCTGGAACTCTCTTGGTCATATACAATATCAGCCCCTGGAACTCTCTTGGTCATATGCAATATCAGCCCCTGGAACTCTCTTGGTCATATGCCCTTAGATTCGCTTTAGTCAGTGAAGCCAATTAATTACTTGGACAAGCAAGTTTCTGAGCACACCCCCAACGACTATAAAATTCCTCCTTCTCATCCAGTTGAGTAATGGCATGGCCTAACAGGATCAGACACATACCAACTCTCATACTTGTATCTTACACAGAAATACCACTGCCCACATTTGTACAGAGGTGTGGTGTACCGCAATATTTACCCACTTAGGGTGCTGTGATTGATCAAGACTGGATATCAGTAGTTGTGGATCAATTTGGAGCACTTAATATTTTTGAAAATTTTACACATGTGATGGTTTTTGCTGATCAAGGCTCACATGCTCTCCTGTTTGCGGACGACATCGCGTTCTACGTCATTGGTCGCAAGGCTTCAACCGTGCTCAGAATGCTGCAGACAGATCTCTTGAATCTGGAGGACTTCCTCAGCGAGCGGGGACTGGTGCTGAATCCCAAAAAGTCTCAGCTACTGCTGCTCAGACGACCTACTGCGCAACTGGACGTGTTCCCCAGCATCACCTGCAAAGGCACCGTAATCCCCGAGTCCAGCCATGTTCTGTACCTTGGCCTCCTATTGGACTCGTCGCTCAGCTTCGAGCAGCAGGTTGAGCGTGTGTGCGCAAAGGCACAGTGCAAGGTTGCCTCATTCCGCCACGGGCGCCGCGATGTCTCCATGACCGGCGCAGCATGTTTTACCTGACAATTGTCCAGAGTACCTTGGACTATGCCAGCACATGTTATGTTCACTGCTTGTCTGCTAAACTCAGAGACAAACTTGAGTCAACCAGCAATAGGTGCCTAAGGCGAGTGTTTGGCCATGATCAGTATACTTCTATCGATTTTATTCTCACCAAATATAACCTGTATACTTTCTCTCACCGTGTAAACTTGAAGCTGTTTGTGTTTGTTTTTAGGTGTCTATCTCGTTGCACCAGTCCTCTTTTAAGCACGATATTTACCCCCCGCTCTGCATCATGCCGCACAAATGCTGCTACCCGCGGTCAAGCTTCAGCTGCTCTGAACCTACCCAGAGCTACGTCTAGTTACGGCCTGAATGCTATTTAATTTTTGGCAGCAGACAGATGGAACATGCTTCCACCTGGATGTCGTCAAGCTAAGCCCCTTTCTGCATTTGTCACAAGCACCAAGTCATTCCTAGGGTTCCCAGTAAAAAGGCAACGCCTGTTGGGAGTTCCCTAGTAAAATAATAAATTCTACTTCTACTACTACTACATGGTAGACGAGCTGTCCTGAGATATGGAAAAATCCGAGATATGGGCAGTGCACAGTCCCAAGGAGCCCGGATAAGAGACGTTCGAGTTCATACTAAATCGCGCACTCCAGCAATAATATTTAAGAAGCATTATGGGACGGAAAATTGATAACAAGGCTGGGTGGGATGTCCTGTAATGGTATTCTAGCTTAGGATTCTCTGTGACCCTACATGTCTAATTATGTACTACGGATACAACTATATAAAGTTAATAGCCACAAAGACAAGTATTCCTTCTGCTCATGCTACTCTGTCCGTAACCGTCTTTCTTGCCACCTCACTTCACTCCAACAATGTTTCTCTACGGACGATTCTCTCCTCTTCCCTATTCCTACTTTTACATCTGTCATTGTGTTTCCTGTGTCTTCTATTGGCAATGTAGGTAATGGAAATTGTTCGACAAGCCGCTGGCAAGTGGACTGCTCGTTATGGCAACGGCCGTTTTCTTCAGGTAATTAGAGAAAGCACAACATGTTATGAGTTATAACTAACTGTCCATCTATGTAAGCAGATAATTATACCGTCAGCAAGTGTGACAAAAGGGCACAAAACTGACAAGGAGTACTTAGCTGAAAAACTGACAAGGAATGCTCAGCTTCCCCTTCCATGCAAAAGAGAAAGACCAAGGAACTACAAGTTACGCTATACTGCCCACTGACACCACCAGTTACTAAACAATCAGCTCGTGCCATAGCATTGCACAACACTGTGTAATTGGTGGTGTTAGTGGACAGTATAGCGTAACTTGTAGTTCCTTGGTCTTTCTCTTTTGTATTAATTTAACCTTGGCTCTCCATCTGAGTCCATTCCCCTTCCATGTTTACCCTATAAACTTGAACCTCCCAATTTGGGTGGCCTGTTACTTTGCGTCGTTGGGTTGTAGTAAAATCGGTACATCCAATTGTCTTACTAATAATTATCACCTTCATCCAGTAACGTTCGGCATTCTTTGTTGCTGTGGGACAGAGCCCGTGCTCATCTTAGTTGCGCTTTCCTTCCCCTTTTTGGATATTTCCTTACTTGAGCCTCCCAAGTTGGAAGGTTGTTGGTTCGCACCTCTCAGATGTGTTGGAGTGAGGTGTTAGGTCGTTGAATGTCTCAGTACTCCTTGTCAGTTTTGTGCACTGTTGTCGTACTTGCTGACGGTATAATTATTATCTGCTTGCACTGTTGGACACTTCGTCATAACTAGTAAAATTTTGTCTTGTTTTGTCCTTTCCTTACTTTTCCATGATTACATTGGCTCAAAATCCGAGCTCTTCAGGTAAAGTGATTATATGTCATACTGAGTATTCCAAGTGTCCCGTTGATATGGAGAGTATCGTGACAATTGAGGTCATTCGCTGGTGTTATGTACATAATAATTTAAATTCGGATACAGAGCCAGTAATAAAATGTTAAAAAAGAGAAGAAATACAGGAGAACGAGTTATGCAGCAACTATCCACGACTGTAACAAGATGATAAACGGTCAGAAAGTGCGATAATAGGGCACAATACTGACAGGGCACTGAGACATTCAGCGACCCGAGACCTAGCTCTAACACATCTCCAGTGCGCAAACCAACAGCCTTCCAACTTGGAAGGTTCATGGTTACGTAGGACCGAAGAGGGGAAGGTGAGCGCAGCAAAAATGTGCACAAGCTAAGTCCCGCGGCAACAAAGAATGCCGACTGTTACAGGACGATGACGAGACCAGTTAATAACATGACAATGCGGTCTGACTACAATTCGAAGCAGCAAAGCAACACACCACCCAACAGTCATGGATAGTTGCTGCATACTCTTTGTCATGTATTTCTTCTCTTTTTTTTACATAATAATTGTTAAACAAAGGATGAAGTTTCGTTTTCAATCCGTGCATATGGTAAAAAGTCGTCTGTACTTTCAATACGTTTCACAAAGCTATCACCAACTCAATTTTTCGATGTCCACCATCCTAATGTTACAAGTAGCGAGAATCTTCATAGATTTATTTCCTGCATGTGTTTAAATACAGGCAAGTACATGTGTGCTGTGCATGCAGTTTGCCGAAAGACCCATATAGCATATGTACAAGCTGATCTTCTCATTTATATTGTCTGACTTATAAAAAAATACATAACCTCTTGAAGGGGAAGTATACCCTAAAATAAAAAGTTCACCAGTTGTAGTCTTCGGGGTGCTGAGTCGAATGGTCTTGGTCCGACGAAGCTGAGACGCTCCCTTCCTCCTTTATTCCCAATCAATCTCGCGCACTTCCACCGAAACTGGGTGACTGCGCCCAACTAGATAGGGATTTGTATGGAAAAAGTCACTAAAAACGCCGTTTCGTTCTTATAAAAAGGCGGATGACCGCGATTGGTGCGTATGTTGTAGTCTCTTGGCGGCTGAGTCGACTGGTTTTGGTCCGAAAAGGCTGCGATGCAGCGTTCGGCCTTATTCCAAATCGAACACGGCTGAGTAAGCGGTCACGTGCTAATTTACAGCCTGTTTGGGCCCGTTTATGTCACTTAAGTTGAACCTTTGAACCAGGGAGTCGTAAAAGCCTCTTACGACCCCCTGCTTTGAATCTTTGTGTTGAACCTTGATGTGAAAATTGTAGCCTGCGGCCAGTGCAGGCACGGTGACCAGGCGACTGGTGTACGCATGAGCAAGTGACCGCTAACTCAACTGTGTTCGATTGGGAATAAGGGCCGAACGCTGCATCGCAGCCTTTTCAGACCAAAACCAGTAGACTCAGCGGCCAAAAGACTACAACATACGGACCAATCGCGGTCATCCGTGCTTTTATAAGAACGGAACGGCGTTTTTAGTGACCTTTTTCATACAAATCCCTATCTAGTAGGGCGCAGTCACCCAGTTTCGGTGGAAGTGCGCGAGTTCGATTGGGAATAAAGGAGGAAGGGAGCGTCTCAGCGTCCTCGGACCAAGACCATTCGGCTCAGCGCCTCGAAGACTACAACTGGTGAAACTTTGATTTTAGGGTATACTTCCCCTTTAAGAAATGTTCTCCTCGAATACTTTACTGTCAAACAGATGAACACTTCGTCACTGATAACGAATTTTCATCCAGCGCATGCGCCAAGTGTGAATAGCAACTGCATAGAGCGGTTGTAAGTTGACAAACCCCGTTTTCTTTAATTGTTGTTCTTGTGTACGCAGACTTACCTTCAGCTGGAGGAATTTTATTCCGAAGGCCAAGTGGACGCTAACACTCTAGTTGTTCTAGTTAGCGGGGAACAACTTGTTGGGAAGTCCACACTGATCAAGACATTGAGAAACGTAGGCGCCAATGGAACATCAAACGACTCGAAACGAACCCGAGGCATCCAGATGTCCAACTTCACTGATGAGCGTGGTCAGCATTTGCGTATCAAAGATCTCGCTGGGCAGGACGCGTTTTCAGCGACACACGACATATTCTGCCTATCCACATCAGTACCAAGCCTCGGTCTTGCTGTTGTCAATAGCAAATGGGACGAGAAACTGATTACAACAAGCATAACCACCACAGCTGGTCGGTTTTTGAGCAGGATGCCACCATCGGTAACATCAGGTCAGTGCGATATTTTATCAAATGCATTTTTGTTAAAAAAGATTGTGTCTGTTGATCCGTATGTCAGCATGTACTGTAGCAGGCATGGAAATTCAGTTGATGACCGGGGCCGGCGCCCTCAGCGCGTACAGAACGCTGCGTGCACTGCACATGTTGATCCGATGCGACCAGCGCGCTGCAGCGCATAAATGCATATGTGTACCGCTTGTCCACGGCTGCATGGCGAGTGCCCTGGGGCCGCTAGATGTGCGACCGGATTTCCATGTCCATGACAGTACATGCATGAATGAATGATTGAATGATTGGGGCATGTGTTTGATTCTGTATACTGGTGCAGGGAGGGCACTGTGTGTGTGTGTGTTTGTGCATGCAGGCATGTGTGTGTGTGTGTGTTTGTGTGTGTGTGTGTCACATTAAAGCGCAGCGTTTATGC